CAAATAATTAATCTCCTGAAAAATAACAATAACGATAAACATGAAAATCGATGTAACGTATCTCCTAATTTCATGTTGATAACATGTGAAAATGATAGTATTTTGCTTTATTGACATAAATACACTATTATATAAATTTACTTGTCTTATCTTCTTATATTGAATGTGGCGATTAGACACTAGGGGTCACAGGAGGATCGTGTCACACCATTATTGGGCAGAGCTGCTCAGGACTCTTACAGGTGACAGGTGCTATTGAGTACCCTCGTGTAGGAAGCCCATCTCCACCAGACGATGTAAGTGTGAACCCAGAAAGAGGCGCTGGAACAATAGAGACGAGAACCTACTCATGTGGAAGACAGTGCCCTTGGGCCCTGCTCCGGCTCCATCCTACGTCACCCACATCCATCTCACTGTGCATCATTTCGTGCCCTGCCTGAGCTCATGACTGGGGGGACCTAGCAGGTCTGGCTGTGTCGTCACTGCTGTCTCACGTGGCTCTGGGTGTAACAAAGACCACAAACATAGGAGAGGTTGTTTTCAAAGGGTAAACAATTCTTTACTGCACGTGACATAGACTTGTTGCTAAATCCCATGGGTCTACAGTAGGATTCTCCTCTGAAGCTTTGCCTTAAGCACAAGGTTTCAGTTCCTGTGCCCAATCCCCTGTTATGGTGGAGTCTGCTAGTTTCTCTGGCCCAACAGCAGGACACTCACACCCCTGCCTGCACCTGCTGCAGAGCCTTTCTGCTCTTGGCCCCAAAACAATGGGTGACTCAGTTCTCAGGCCCATGATTTACGGTGTCAGTATTCAGGTCTCAGGGGTCCCTGTGGCTTCTCTGGCTCCAAGTCTGGAAGCACAGGCTCCATGACCATCTATGGGCTCTAGGATGGGTAAGATGCTGATTATTACTGCAGCTCCTATAGGAGAGGTGGCACTTCCCACAGTGGTCCAAGTTCATGGGGAACTGAGACCCAAACTTGCCCGTGGCTCTCTGGCTCTCCCTTGCTCTGAAGATGCTTCATCACCCCGTGCCAGGGGCTTCCTGCAGCACGGCCTTGAGAATTCCTCTCTCTCAGCTCCTCTCCTTTCTTACCAAAAAGTCCAAAAGGAAACCTGCTCTGTGGTTTCCCAAGCACAAATAACACTGCAGCGAGCCTCCCTATGCAGAGTCCCTTGAGTTCATGCGTGCACATGACCACAGGATAAATTTCCAGAAGTGAAATTGCTGGATCAAAATCATGTGCATTAGCGATTTTTACCTATTGTTTTCACACTGCCCTCCAGAGGGGACCTACCAGTTTACAATGCCAGTCCTAAGTATTGATTGGAATTTATTGGTAAAAGTGCCAATTTTGGCCAACCTATCACATATAAAAATTATCTTGTTACACTTTGATTTTTGATTTCTTCTAGTTTGCTTGAGGCTGGGCCTTTACTATTTCAGTGCTCATTGTTTTTTAGGATGTGGTAAACTTTTTCTTAAACGTCTAGATAAGAAGTATTTTAGCCTTTGCCACACAGGGGTCAACTTTGGGGATAATCCATAGGTACTGATAGCACTGTAATCATTAAAACATATAAAATATAAAAACCAGTATCAGTTCTGAGACCACTAAAAAAAAAAGTGTCAGTCCAGGGTGTCCCACAGGATGTGGTTTAACGGTCCTGGTTTTCAGGGTCATGTGAAGTTGGAAAATTGCAGCAGCGTGTGTTCTGGGTGGAGGTCTCCTTGTGAGGGTCACTGTATTTCACCTCCTCTAGTGGCCTGAGCTCTTTCTTTGGATAAGAACATACGTGGACCATCTGTTTGATTGGATCTTGTGTCTGCTCAAGACAGCCGTGTGTCACAGGCTTATGACTTTCATCCTCATCCACTTCCTCTGAGTTTCGTGAGAGCTTTAGTATATCAGGAATAGAGGCTCCCCGTAGGTGGTAAATTAGAGGGAGAGGGAGTGGCAAATGGATAAGGAAGGTCGCACCAAGTGGGCAATGATCCAGTGAGGGCTGAGAGAAGAACGGTCTTAACATCCGCCTTGTAGCTGAAACCAAAACACACAAGATCATTGGTGTTCTGAGCACCATAAACAAGTGAATAAATGAAGTTCAAGTTTTCAATGTATTGCAAGTTTTCAAAGCATGTAGATTGTAAAACTCAGAATGTAACCATGGGATAAAGAAAAGACTCTGAGGTTTTAAACCGTGAGTCCCCCAACTAAGTGGCCCTGACAAGAACAGGATGGCGACAGTGGAAATATGTTATCCTGCAAATTATCATTTTGTATGAAGGAATATTTTCCCTTTCTTAAATGAAGGAACTGTCTTCTGAAACCTCCTTCTCTCACACTGTTAATGCACCATTAAGCCACAAATAAACTGTCACGTGAAGTAGGAAACAACTGTCCTTTTATATAACCATTGAGAAGTTTCTTCATTTGCACACCAAAATGTTGATGCTCACTGCTAAAACTGGATTTAGTAATTTAATATGCTTACAAGATTTTAATTTTCCTTGGATTATCTTATTTCTGTGTATGATGTATCTTAGTTACCTGGGACATATTCTGCTCTAAAAACAATTCAACTATTTTTTCTTATATTTTCTGTATCAACTATGGCTCTTTCCCCAACGCTGTCAGAAATAGCCCGTGGCTACTGATTATAAAATTCAATTTTATGATCATTTAAATTATTATACTTCCTCGCTCTATTGCTGACCACCTAGTTATTAATGAAAAAAATTATAAATATACTCTAAATTATTTTAAGAATGCACAAATGTGTATTTTTCACATCTAACTCAAAAATGTTGCTGATGTTAACTCGCTTTTTAGTTCTATCTTAATGAAGTAGGAGTTTACTCTTCTGGACACTCAGATGATAACAGGAAAGTGGAGATAAACACCCCCCTCCAAGCTGTTTTCCTTTAAACCCTCAGGATAAATCACCCTGGAGAATCAACCACACTTGATATGAATGATATGTAAATTAGAATTAGGTCTTAGAGTTGCTGTTTAGGAGTTGGGGTTTTGGGATAAGGTGAATGTTTTTGCAAGGGAGAAAGACGTGAGTTTTCTGGAGTCCATAGGGTGGGGAAGTTATTGACTAAATTATGTCCCCCAAAATTCATCACTGAAAATGTAACACAGTGTGTGACCAAAATTGCACATAGAGTTCTAAAGAGATGACGAAGTGCTATTGATGAAATGAGGGTGGATTCTTATGCAATCTGACTGGTTTCCTCCTAGGAAGAAAAACTTTGCACACACAGAAATGAGACACCAGAGGTGAGCGTGCAGAGCAAAGACCATGTGAGGACACAGCAAGGGGGCAGCCACCTGCAGGCCAAGGAGAGAGGCCTCAGGGAAACCAAACCCACCAACGCCTTTATCGTGGATTTTCCAGCTTCTAAACCAGGCGAAAAGAAGTTTCTGCCATTTAGGTCACTAGTTCTTTTGTATCTTCTTGTGGGAGCTCTAGCAAATAAAAACAAGAAGGGGCAGAAAGACCTTGGATGAGGGAGATGGAAGAGATGGAGCAGGGTGCGGGAGGCGGGGCCGGGGCGCGGGAGGCGGGGCCGGGGCGCGGGAGGCGGGGCGGGGCGCGGGAGGCGGGGCCGGGGCGGGGGAGGCGGGGCCGGAGCACGGGAGGCGGGGCCGGGGCGCGGGAGGCGGGGCCGGGGCGCGGGAGGCGGGCCGGGGCGCGGGAGGCGGGGCCAGGGCACGGGAGGCGGGGGCAGGGCGGGGCTGGAAGGCCAGACTCAGGGGCATCTCCTGGATTGAATCTGGACTCCAGTCACTACTGTCTGGAGGACGAGGGAAAACATTTACCCTCCTAATAATGATTCACTAATAAAGATGGGCTTTGAGCATAGGGCTCCCATCATCCTATCTATATTATAGAAGTTCTTGAGGTAACACTTGTAAAACTCTCACCATTACATGTGGCATGTGCTATAGGCTAATAAGTAGCCCTTCTGAGTGATCTAGTGGTGTACAGAAAATGCCATTCACGCTGTGTGCACCAGGGGGCACTGTGAGGTTTAGTCTGAGGCCCCTAATGAGTCCAAGTCCCCTGGTAATGCTCAAGTGCAAAGGGCATGACTGCTGCTTCTTTTGAGGCTCTGTTTGGTAAATCTGAAAACACAAACACACTTGGCCCTTTTTCTGATGTTGAGAAATTGCTCAGAGAAGGCCCTCAGGCTGAGGCTTAGACAAGAACCAGGACAAATATTTCAGGGAATGGAGAACAGATTTGCATCCACTGCTCACCAGAGCCACCTAACAAGATACAAGAATAAAGGAAGTAGATTTGCATGAAGAGCCTCTCCTTCCTATGATAAGAGAGGCCTTGGGGCTGCTCCTTAGCTGTGGGCTCAGAGGCAGAGCTCTGGGGTGTCTCCACCATGGCCTGGACCCCGCTCCTGCTCACCCTCACTCTCTGCACAGGTGCTGCCTCCCAGGGCTCACTCCGTATTACCACAGTGGCTGTGTCAGCTGACCCTGAGCTTCAGCTGAGCACAGGGAGTGGTGTAGGGTGTGGGGCTCTGGAAGTGAATCCCTTATCTTCACCTCTCCTGTTCTCTTTTGCAGGTTCTGTGGTTTCTTCTGAGCTGACGCAGGACCCTGCAGTGTCTGTGGCCTTGGGACAGACAGCCAGGATTACCTGCCAGGGAGGTGGCATAGGAACCTATTATGCAAACTGGTACCAGCAGAAACAGGGCCAGGCCCCTGTGCTGGTCATCTATGGTAACAACTACCGGCCCTCAGGGATCCCAGACCGATTCTCTGGCTCCAGCTCAGGAAACACAGCTTCCTTGACCATCACCGGGGCTCAGGTGGAAGATGAGGCTGACTATTACTGCCAATCAGCAGACAGCAGTGGTACTCATCCCACAGTGACACAGACAGATGGGGAAGTGAGACAGAAACCCCTTCCCTCTCTGTGTCACCCTCTCTCTCCAGCCCCAGCAGGACTGTGAACAAAGCCATAAGCAGGCCTGGCCCAGTTCACCTGGATCTGAGACCTTCAGGCTGCCCTTCCCTCCAGACCTCCAGGCAGGCTCTGCAGAAGGTGGGTCAGGATAGGATTGGAGGCTGGAAGGACCACGCTGTTCTGGTGTTGTTTGGACTGAGTGTGTCTTGGCTCAAGATGCCCTGAGTGGAAGGACAGTAAGAGGGAGACAGACAGCCATGGAGTGTCCATGGTCTCTGGAGTTCCTCTTGTGTGGTGACTGGATCTAACGCGATGCCTGTACTCTGTGGCCCAAATACCCTGGATTATTTCTCTGAACTGTGCATGTTTAACTGAGACCCTCAAGCCCCAGCTCCATGCATCCTGATGTTCTGAACAGGAAAGCCTTTCCTAGTGAGCACTGTGGCATCACGTGGCATTGGCTTCCCACATCTCTTTCCACGAAAAATGCCATTCAGTGCAAATAACAGCTTCCTGCAGAAGTGTGCCTCCTTCAGAATGTGGCTCTAGAGCAATGACTGCTGAGGCCTTCATCCCAAAGCCATGCTTTAATTCAGGATGACCTTAAAATGCCTCCTAGCTGAATGGTCAATTGTAACATATTCCCAGTCACGCCTCCCACATTTCTCTCCTGTGAGTATATCCTGAAACCCTCCTGTATGGAACCCTCCCTCTCAGAGTAGGATTCTAGGGAAATGAAAAATTGTAAAATAAAAACTAAAACATCCTAGTGGGAAGAGTACCGAAGAGGAGACCATTGCACATGAAGAGAACTCTGAAGTCTGCGAATATGTATGCACTAATGAGCACTTGTGTGTAAAGAAACTCCCTCTGAAAGAGAGAAGAGCCACCTAACGACACTTGAGGGAACACCCCACAGAGAGCACACACACACACACACACACACACACACACACACACTCACACTACAGTCACAGAGGAAAGGCCTGAGTTACAGGGCATGAGGCGGGCCCATCAGAAGGAAGGAAGGAAGGAAGGAGAAAGTTGTACTGCTGATGTATTATTTGGCAAGCTACTCAGTGGAACACCAAGCTATTCATATATATGTGTGTGTGTGTGTGTGTGTGTATATATATATAAATATATATATATGTATTTTTTTATTGCATTGTAGGTTCTGGGGTACATGCGAAGAACATGCAGGATTGTTGCATAGGTACACACATGGCAGTGTGATTTGCTGCCTTCCTCCCCATCTCCTATATCTGGCATTTCTCCCCATGTTATCCCTCCCCAACTCCCCACCCCCCACTGTCCCTCCCCTCGTCCCCTCCCACAGACCTCAGTGTGTGATGCTCCCCTCCCTGTGTCCATGTGTTCTCACTGTTCAACACCCGCCTATGAGTGAGAACATGCGGTGTTTGATTTTCTTGTTCTTGTGTCAGTTCGCTGAGAATGATGGTTTCCAGGTTCATCCATGTCCCTACAAAGGACACGAACTCATCGTTTTTTATGGCTGCATAGTATTCCCTGGTGTATATGTGCCACATTTTCCCTGTCCAGTCTATCATTGATGGGCATTTGGGTTGGTTCCAAGTCTTTGCTAATGTAAACAGTGTTGCAACGAACATTGGTGTACATGACATTCTTAAGAAAGTCACACGTATATTTTATAATGTTATCACTGAAGTGGATTTTGAAAAATGAGAACATGAATACCTTTAAAAAGTGTTCAAGGTTAAAGAGAGAAAAATAAATTTAGATTGTATACATATGCAAAATGTACTTTAAAATACAAGCTTGTATTTTTTATTCCTTAAATATAAGAAGCAGATATTTAAACTCCTTGCCTTTTATTTCAAAATTTAGAAAATGCTTACATCTTCCCACACTGAGATTTATACTAATGCAGCTAATCTCATCAAGGGATAATAAAATCAGAACAGAATTCTCTGGACAAATCTGTTTTCTTGTTTTTCAGACTAAACGTATGATCAAAGAAATAAAACTATTCGTAATTGATTCTGCTGTTTGAAAGTATTTACTGATCACTTACCTTGCACCAAGTGATCTCCAGCTCTGAAGATAGGTCAGCGGAAAAATACACGTAGTTGCCCAGCTTCGTTAAGCTTAAAGTGTAAAGAGGAAGAAAAGAAGTCATTGATTAGGGACTTTAAAACAGGAGTGTTGAACCTGGGAGGCGGAGGTTGCAGTGAGCCGAGATTGTGCCACTGCACTCCAGCCTGGCGCCTGGCAACAGGTGAGACTCTGTCTCAAAAAAAGAAAAAACAAAACAGGAGTGTTGTGATATGGATGGAACTCTGATTGCATACTGTGTTTGTTGTGTGGAGACTGGATTGAAAAATAGCGCAATGATAGAAGCTTAAATTCATATAGACTTTGGCTAGCCTGTATTTTCAGTGCCCCTGAAACAAGATTGTGTAATAGTTCTCATTATTTCCCCCAATAAATCTCTGCAGTAGAGCTTTGGCCTTGTGAGAGAAGTACTACCGTCACCACGCAGTGAGGGTGGGAAGGTGACTCAGCAAATACCATCTGGAATTACCGCACTTTAAAGGTAAACCTGGCAGGATAGAAAGAGGGAGAGAGAATAAGAACCAGACGGATACAGAATTTGAAAATACCATTTGGAATTACTGCACTTTAAAGGTAAAGCTGGCAGAATTTTCATACATGTCAGATCTGAAAATGTGCGTGTGTGTGTGTGTGTGTGTGTGTGTGTGTGTGTGTGAAGAGGAGAAAGAGAGGATGAGAACCAGACAGATACAGAGAGACAAGACAGAGCTGCAGAGACAGAGCGAATTAAAAGGGGACCCCAAGCATAACGAGCTGAGAAACCATAAAATGGGAGTTACTATTAAACAGAATGGGGAAGAGCAAGTTTGCGGAGCGTCAGTGGCTCCGTGTGGACTTATTAATTTTGACATTTCTAACAGACATCCAGGTGGAGAAGTCAGACAGTGTTGGGTGTAGTCTGGTGTTATGGTATAATATAAAATATCGGGAAATGAATGACACAAAAATTCGTAAGAAAACAGAGATAAAGAGAAGTCAAAGTCCTGAGCCTCGTGGTCATCTAGCACTTAAAAAGTAGTAAACCTGAGAAGAAAGCAGCAGAAAAGTCCTAAGGGTAATTATCAAAAACGTCAAGAGGTAATGCAGGGAAAGTGTTCTGGAATTCTATCAAAGAACGTTTTGGGAAAAACAGGAGAGATCCACTGCATTAAATGCTGCTGATACATAAATTAAGACAAAGGCTGAGGAATTATGCTTCAGTTCATAATTTAACAATATGGATTTCATTTGTGATTTGATAAGAGCAATTTTCTTAAAGTGAGTAGGTGAGAAACCATATTGGAGTGGTTTCTCAAAGGAATGTCTGGTCTCTAGATTCTTAAGGAAATTTCTTAGTGAACAGTGGAGGCACAAATGGGATTTTTAAATTCTAGGGTCGGGACACACTTTAAACCCGTGCCTCTGCATGCCTTGCATTTGAAGGCTAGGTATTCCATTTTCTTTTAATAATAGATACAAAACCTAAACCCATTTAATTGACACACTTTACAAAGACTGGTACTAGAGGTTGTTGGAGAGGCTGTGGTTCTACGTAGTATCTTGTGAGTCTCTGATGGACAGGGAAGCTGGAAAAATGTCTTTGGAAAACTCACCATACCTGCTACATTTAAACATTCAGATGCCAATCACCTGAAATTCCATATGTATTCCATATATATTTCCACAAGAAAACACCAGGGACCTGTATTAAAATATTATTAGTTCAAATAATAAGCTGGGTCTTCTGATTTTTTTAATTAGCAACTCAGTGTCTGCCTGTTTTCAGCAGTATAACGTCTATCTAATATATATTTTGTATTTTTAATCAACCACTAAGAAAAAATACAATATTTTACCTCAAGTCTATATATAGTGCCTAAAATAGAAAACGGGATTTTGTAGATTCAACAGAATTATTTGTTGAATAAATCATGAGTAACTTATTTATAGGGTCCATAGACAAATAACATATCATCTCAGAATACAGCGATAACATTTGCTATGTAGAAAGTCATTTCAGACTCAGTTAAAAATAGTTTGGGCATGTAAGTTACTGTCATATACAGATGCTCACATTGTTTATGTGAAAATGTTTGTAGTTAATGTGTATTTTTGGTTCATGAGGCTTTTGGTTTTGCTGCCATAGCAGATAGTGTTCCTATTAAGAATATGAACCTGAATTTTACTTCATTTTTAACGGATTTCTTAATAAAATATATGCCATACTATTTTGTTTAATACATTAGCAGACAACGTGTCAGAAGCGAATACCCACCCACTCCACCGCTGTCACCCATACCTCTGATAATGCGGCTCCCGGAGATGTTACCGACAGCTGAGGACTTCGTGTTCATCCTAAGCACTTTAGAGCCCTTTCATTTTCACCTGGGCATGAGATAAAATAATTCAGCAGCAATACAGCTCACACTGCTTACAGAATGGCTCTTTCTTTTGTGTCTGTTGAACATTACAGAGCAAGACAGAGTACTTCTCTGTCCCAGGAAGTCACTGTTGGCACTACACTCTGAAAACCTGTATTATTGACTTTCTGAGAAACACTGTTTGGGCTTATAATTTAGATGCCATCAAATCATGTACAAAAATGTGCTACTCCCTTCCCCTTCTCTTCTCCTCTTCACAGACAATTGTCAGTTTTCTTTTCTCTCCAACTCCTTCTGTCTACTTGATTTTTTAAAAGCGTCCTGCACATTTCCAATTTTAGTAGTGTAGAGACCCGATATGTGGCCAAACTACACGTCCAGGCAGAGTTGAATTACATGCAAGCATTTTTAAATAAACAATTCCTCCTCAGTTTTCCGTGATTATTTTATATAATCAAGTGTCTTCCAGATATATGTCCCAAGCCAGTGGTTATCAAGCTCTGCTTGGTTGTCTAATTTTATCAGAATTATCCAAAATTCTTATCATGAATACATATAAATTGGTACACCTTCAGATTTATAAAATCGAAATTTCCAGAACCTAGGACTATGGATTGAAAAAATGTATTCCTCAGGTGGTGCTGACTTGATATTGGATCCGGGTTTAGAATGCAGGAAAAATCACCTTCCTTGCCCTCTAGCTGACACTTCTATCCAGAGTTCCCCTTCCCCTTTCACATTCTGCTGTCTCTCCTCTGCACCTTCATCTTCTCCTCCCTCCACTTCTCACCCACGTCCCAAGCCCTCCGCCATCAATCCTCCTAAAATTCCAAATGGCCATTTGCCACTAAAGTTCCCTGTGTCCCATGAACAAGTTATGTGGGCAAATGGAGAATTTAAGTTTCGACCGAGCTGAATCAAGAGCTGCAATTAAATATTTCCCTCAACCCAGAGCCACCAGCAAAGAGTTATAGAAGATCAGAAATTTCCTGTAGGTGCAAAGGGCTCAGGGTGACCTGATTCTAGAGATCAAATCTTATTGTCCCCTCAAATTCTTGTGTTAAAATCTAATTCTCTATGTGACGGGATTTGAAAATGAGACCTTGGAAGGTGATTAGGTCATGAAACCAGAGCCCCCATGACTGGGATCAGTGTCCCTATCAAAGGGACAGCTGAGAGTTCCCTGATTCTTTCTGTCATGTGAGGACACAGTAAACAGATGGCAGTCTACGAACCAGGAGCAAGCCCTCACCAGACATGACATCTGCTGACCACGTGACCTTGGATTTTACCATCTCCAGAACCATGAGAAATAAATTTGTTTCTCTGCGACCTAGTCTATGACATTGTTTTGACATCCAGATTAGCTAAAGTACCAACATACCAACTTGTACACGTAATTTTTGGAAACCCTGTGATGCCAAATCTTTGATGGCAAAAGGCAATTGATCTGCAGGACGAATGAACCTAAATGATCCCTCTTTCCACAATAAACGAGAGCGAAAAAAAACCAAAAATAGGTCAAGTTCTTCTAAAAACCATACCTGAAAGGTTTCCAGTAACAGTTGATTAGGTGGTAATTTCATCGTACAAACAACCACAACAAAGAGACATGACTATCAGAGATTTTCAGGATAGCCTCAAAAACACCATCTGACATTAGGGACCCCTCCTCCCAGGCTTCTTTTCCTGCTCTCCAGCGCCTGTTGCAGGCAGCAAACAACCCCAGCAGCAGCAGCAGCAGCAGGTCCTTCAGCTGCAGGGCTGCAGCTCAGCCAAATGACAGAAGCCTCTCTCCATTGAGGCAGAGGAGCCCAGGCCGTACACCCTGGTCTTGGCCTCCATGTCTCCCACCGTGTCCAGGACACAGAGCAGCAGGGGAGCTGCTGGCTGGGGCCGGGATGGCCACCCCCTCTCTCCCACCTCTTGCTCCAGTCATGCTTTCAGCTCTAGGGCTGAGGCTAGTGGCTAGAGCAGGTGCCACAATGTTAGGCAGCTCCTTAGGACAGGGGCAGGAGCTGCCTGTAGCTCCAGTACTGTCCCGGAAGGGGGCTCTTCCGCTGGTGCTGGCATGGCCTCGTCAGCGCTCTGGAAGGTCCTGTATTGCTGCACATGGACAGGAGCTGGAAAAGAAGAAAGATTCACCAATGACAGTCATTTTCCTGGAATTTCCACATACAGAAACAGCCTCACTGAATTTAAATAATTCCAGCCTAAAAACACTGCACCCAGAAAGTCTCTGAGACTACAGGCCCCTCACCATGTGCCTGTGCTTTGAGGAACTCCAGAGGCTCCAGATGGACAAGGACGATATGCAGATGTGGCCCAGATGGGATCACTGGTGAGGTCTGGCCTGGTAGGGTCTGCCCTGGGCTGCCCTGGGGTACCTGGGGGTGCCTTCGGCCAAACCGCTCAAGGCTCCTGGAATGAGGGATGAACCTGCATCCGCACTGTGGGAAAAGGCTGTCACTCTGGGCCCTCCTGAAGCAGGAGCCTGGAGATGCCGGGATGCCAGGTGCTCTGAGATCTGAGGGAGGTGGACACTGCCCACCTCCACCCTTCACATCCTGTGCAAATAAATTATTCTCTTCACCCCTCCTTCAGCCTATCAATTTTGACACTTAAAAAGCCACCACAGCTCATCCTTGTAAAGAGGAAGGCCATTCACATCACACTTTTCAAATAATAATAATAGCCATGCAAAGAATAGAAAATTTCTCATACATTATTGTACTTAGATTACATATGAAAGTCATGATATTTTTGATATGCTAGGTAAATAAAATATACTATTGAAACTCATTTGCTGCTTCTCTTTGTATTTCTAATGCAGTGACCAGACAGTGGGATTCCCATGAGGCTCACATCATATTGGGGCTGAACAGTGCTGGTTCTCCTCCTCTTCAGGGTACAGGGGCTGTGCAGTGACCAGGTGCAGGAAGCCCCATGTCCACCCACAGGACATCAGTGTGAACCCAGGGAGAGGCGCTGGTGGAAGAGAGATGAGAACACAGCGGTGAACCACCGCTTGTGCAGGGGACTGAGCCTTCACTTTGAGCCAAAGAAGTTTCCT